GCCCGCGCAGAGGCAGGCAAGCCGCCGCATGGCGCCATACGTGCCTCATGTACCCATGAAGTCGACCTCAATGAAGTTGTGCTTTAGATCTTCCAGAGTTTTTACCGGCGTTTGTGGATGGATTCCGTCACCAGGAGTTTCTCGGAACGACGACCGGATCGACACGTCGGTCCGCAACGGAAGTTGTCGAGTTGCCGTCGTAGCAGATTGATTCCATAGCCGGTTGGATCTTGTAGATGCGCATGTGCTCTTGATTGCTAGCTGGTTGATTAATCGTCTTGCCTGTATGGTGCATGCATACGTTCAAATTGGCTTGCATGCATGGTCTTGTACGAAGTATCAGATGCTATGCAAGAAAACGGTGACATATACATGTATACGCACTCCATTGATGCATGGCCCTGTATACCACGTATATTCTTCTTGTTTGCTCGTGACGGAACGATGCTCTGGCCGGATCTTCATGGTGCTGTAGAGTAGACTAGATGTATGCTTGACTGGGATTATTTTTTAGGCAGCCGAACCTGATGGTAATCACCAATCATTGTGCACGTATCGAACTAGAGCAGGACTCCTATGCATGTCCGATCGGGTCGGAGTAGGATTCCTATATTCCCGTGCGGATGCAGCTCGGCGTGTTTGTCAAAGCCAAGTGAGACCGATCGGAGGAGGATGAGAGTCACGCCGTCGTGTAGTTTGTTGTCCCGTGATTGGATCTGGAGAACTGAGATGTCGCCCGTCGCCGTTGTAGATGGAGCGCTCGAGTCGAGGGATATCGAGCCTGTCAGGCTGTTGAAGCACGCCGCCACAGGAAGTCAGGTTGCCACGAGCGGCATCGATCTTGAGATCCCATCTGGTTCGCCATAGATCAGCGCGCACGATCCCCTACCTGGCGCGCCACTGTCGACGAAATATGGTCGGCAGTCCACCGAGGGGGGTGCCCGTGGTGGTAGATTATCGATAGACGGTGCGTGTAATCAGGAACCAGATGGTGACACAAGGCGCAGAGACAGCGATTTAGACAGGTTCGGGCCGTCTGGTCGACGTAATACCCTACGTCCTGTGTCTTTGGTGTATTGTATTGAGATGTATACAGATTCACCTCCCCTCTAGGGGGCCCTTGTCTCTCCTTATATACTCCGAAGAGACAAGGTTACAAGTAAAGTATCCTATTTGGTACTATTACAATATCTAGTACAACTTGTAATCTTGCTGTGCACGCCTCGATCTTACGGGCCGGGCCACCTCGGATGGTGCGGCCCATGTACCATCTTGTGGTACCCGGGGGTATATCCCCCACACCAACTCCAAAAAAAAAGTTGGAGCAGCCGAACTCCATGGAGTTGTTGGAGCTCTAGTTCATTCTCTTGGAGCTCCTCTTTTCTAGCTCCAGAACCCTCTGAAATAGACCTAGACATAGAGTTCCAAGGAAATTACCCATCTTTGCCATCGATTACTCACTCCAACCCAGCAAACCGTTATTTCTCTTATGTTCTGACCTCCCCCAACCCTATCCCGCACCTGTACTTGGCCCGACGCTCGCCCACTCGATGCCGCCGCCCCCGCACTCGCCCAACTCGCCCACGCGGTCGCCGCCGCCCTCGAGCTCGCCCACCCCACCGGTCGCCGCCGCCACCTCGTCTCCATTCCCCCGCCGGTGGCGTCCTCGGCGCAAGATTCGGCGAGCGGACTCGGCGTGGGCTCCTGCGACCTGCCCCATCACGGCCTCGGCGTGGGCTCCTGCAAGCAACCCCGGCACGGGCGCGGAAGCGCCGCCCTTCCCAGGCTCGAGAGAGGGCGAGGCGCAGCCTCTGTCCTAGCCCTGGCGCTGGCGGCCGACATCGGCGAGGGCTCTACTCGGTCACCTCGTTAGTGGGAAGAAGGTGTTGACGAGCGGGGTCAGCTCGTTAGTGAGAGAGGGAGAGAGTTGAGTGGGGAGAGCTGTGGATGACATGTGGGCCCGTTCAACCAAGGGCAAAGTGGTCAATCCATACTGATAAAACACCATTCTGGAGCTAAGAGTACACTTCTAGCCAAACACCCCCTATAGACAACTCCAACTCCACTCAGAGCCAGCTCCACCTGGATTTCTAGAGTGGAGCTGCTCTATCTAGAGTTGGAGCCATGCCAAACAGGCCCTTAGTGTGCGAGACCGAAATTGCCTCTAGAGAAGATCTATCATATCTTGGTGCTCTTCATGAGGTTTTCTCAGAGAGTCAAAGATTTTTATATGACTTGGAAAGATCGATGACCACCAGTAACCAGTGAAAGCTGCATGTTTATACGCATTAATTACACTCAACATGGAGTAAGCAAAATAAAATGTGCACAAGACATTAACACTCACTGGAAGTTGTAAGGGAAGAGTATCGTTGTCTTGTAATATTGTTTATCTAAGAAGTTGAACATATCCCTCTCCACTTGATCTGGCCAGTAATATTGTCCTTGAATATGTTATATGGATCAATGAAACCAACATCAAAGACCCCCTTTCTTGTGGTTCAACATCTCATGTCTGCGTATATATAGTACAAAAGAATAGTGTGAGGATAATTATATATAGTACAAAAGAATAGTGTGAGGATAATTATATATAGACAACGAACTAACGTACGAGTGACTTTAATTATAGAAAGAATCACTTGTAGACACAGCAGCTGAAGAGAGATTTGTCGAGAGCATCCTGGTGGAATAGTTGGTGTAATTCATTGAATTCAACATGTAGAACGTCATCGGCACATAAGTAATGCTCTTGTTTAACTCTGACAAGAATCCATTGCACGTGCTTCTTACAGGCATCTAAGTACCACTTATTTAACAAAAACATTTGCATTTGCATTTGCAGTGATGGAAACGAGTCAGGGCTGACAAGACTCCTGTCATACTTATAGATCTTCCATTGATCAACGCACTGGGCTCTTGGTGGCGATCGTCCTCTCCCCGTAATCAGGTCTTCCTTTGTGAGACCTGTTGTTTCAATCAACATATTCAGTTGCTCTAAACTGATTTCACCTTCTTTTTGTACGATTGTACCATCATTGTGAACAACTAGCGGGTCGACTGGTTGCAAACATTGTTGTCCGAACTGTGTAACATCTTTCCTTGCTCTTTTCGCTTTCTTCGCTGCCTAATATGACTTGTCGAGAGAGCGGTCATAGTCCGATAATGACGGGGGCTTACGACTTTCATGCAGGTATTTTATCGTATATGTTGACTCTGTTCCTTAGTACATTGCGGGGTATGTAGGCCGGCTTCCATCACTTCTCTTCACACTTCTTTTTTACATTTTTGAAGAACTCATTCACTTGTTTTGCTACCATCGCTCTTGATTCCTCTTCAGACTTTTGGTAAGCCAGCTTCTCAGGAGGAGGCTTTGTTTTACGGGTGGCTTTCTTCTTCATCGGGGACTTCCTCGAGGGCGGTGAAAGGTCTAGAGGGGGGTGAATAGCCTAAAATTCTACAGGACACTAGAGGGTTTAGACAACTAAATGGCATAAAAGTGTTTCGCTCTAGCTCTTCTAAAAATACAAGCCACCTACTAATATACTAGTAAATTATGATATCTATGACAATCAAGAGCTATGTCACTAATTCTAGTCTAGTGAGCTAGCTATCATAAGATAAAAACTAAAAACAACTAGCTACTCAACTAGTTACTCTCTGAACTTCTATATACACTTAGAGCCCCATCCAATCTGTTTGTGTACGGAATGGTTGGAAACTGTCAAAGAATAAACAAGAAAAGGTGAGTAATTATCAGCCAAAAAGAAATTGAGATCAAAATACCAGCTCGTCCATTGTAAGCAGCAAACAATACATTGCACATCACTACTAAATTAAAGCATTGTACTTACATATTTTTTTGCTTTAAGACAATAGTGAATTGCAAATAAGCTAGTAAAAATCAAAAGCATGCACATAATCATAATGAAAAGCTCATGATACATGAGGTCATTGACCAATTCTGAAGCACCTGATTCACTATCTGTACCGCAATTCAACATACTTAAGGATGGAGACACACCTGGTCATCTATCCTTCAAAGAGAGAGGACAGGAAGGGAAGTAGGACTGCCGACACAAAACCTGAAATATAGATTAAGCATACATAAATAACCTGCTGGTAAAAATGTAGGAGCAAATAAAACATGTTCACTAATAAACTAACCTGCAGGTAAAAATCTAGGAGCAGAGGGGGTGGTTCCAGAGATGGTGCGGGGGAGCGGATAAGTCACTGCAAAATAATGACCTCAACAAATTCAGTAATCACAAGAACAGCGATGCAGGCAATAGAAGCCAAGTTAAACATCAACAAATTCAGTGATCACAAGAACAGCGATGCAGGGAATTGAAGCCAAGTTTAACTGTACCCTTGCTGGGACGTCCAAGTAGACCGGGGCAGACGGGACCTGCTAGAAGGAAAGTGGCTGAGCCAACTTCACAGAGATGGTATGATGTCTCTGGTTTTGGTCACGGGAGTGGGGGGCTGTGGGTACGGCTGCCGGGCAGAGATAGCAAGAAACAGTCCTACACCACTCTCCTTGGCGAGGCGATGGCACGCCGCCACATCCTGCACAACACAGATTGTTCCCAAAGATCACACAACTAAACCACATTGATAGAACACAGTTAGGAATAATCAAATACAGAGGACGAAGTTAGGAGCATTTGTACCATGGGCGGATTTGGGCCCCGGGCTGCAGCCCGGGGTGAGGCCCAACAACAGTGGATATATGTTTGACAGAACACAGAAAAAGGCTAGGCAGCCCAATAGCCCACCCCGAGTCGAGGACAGCCTAGCAATCTCCAACCCTAGCCCTGGCTGCAGGCCGCGACACGTCCACTCGGCTCTTGCGATCGCGACGAAAGGGGAGAAGTAACCGCGCGCAGTCTTCCTCGCCTCGTGGCGCCCGCCGACCGTCGCGGGCTCCGACTCTAGCCTTCCTCGCCTCCTCCTGCCACCGCCGGTCGTGGCCTCGCCCGCCACTAGGTGACCTGGCCATGGCCAGCGGGCAGCAGCCGCCGGCAGCCGCGGTCCTCGGCCAGGCCCAGGCCTCAGCCCCCAGCAGCAGCAGGTGAGATTTGACTTTTGAGCACTAGTGTCTGGATTTGTGGATTTCCATGGTAATGTAAGTTGTAACATTTAATAATTCATATCTTAGGCTACAGACGCTAGAATGGAAACATACTATGGTAAAAAAGATGCATCAAAGAATAATAACGAAATTAAAGAAGAACAAAAAAAATGTTATCTTGCTTTTTGAAAAACTTACATTTTATAAAATTTTATGTAGTACCGAGGATGTCGGTACAGGTGGTGTTAAACCATGAAGACCTATGCGGTTTTTTTTTTGTTGTCATGTAAGGTTCTTCGGTTGGTACCTTATATTAATTAGCCTGGGGCGCAGCCGGTTTCTGGATCCGCCACTGATTTGTACCATACAATTTTCTTAAACACCTATCATGCAATTAGCCTGCCGAGAAGTGTGACAACTCTTGGATTGGGACAGCTATAACAAAGCTCAAGCTACATACTACTTTTGCCATGGAATTCCATACCCCTCAAGACTGAAATTAATCCAAACAAAATGTACATAATGCATGCACAAAAACCTCTAAGAAAATTCAAGTTCTGCAATTCAATCAGAAAACAAAAGAATTTCCGGTGTCTAATTGATGCCCCCCCCCGCCCCCACGCACCCCAACAAGTATTTCATTGCTTCACTGCAAACTCACCAGATTATGCACGCCATAGGTGACTCCGGCGGCCACCAGCGCCTTAAGGAGCTTCAGCTTGTCGAGTCAATGAAGCGGGACGCATCAATCACTGGGATACTTGCAAAGGGTGCCATGGGATCCTCAAGACTTCGCCCATCCAGATCTTCACCAGGACCTGAAACTTCTCCACGGCGTCCTTCACATCATCTGGATTGTCAGGCATGGCCACCTTTCCTGCCTGATTCATAGCCTTCCAGACCCTGCAGACAAACACCAAACACTTAACTACTCTGACGAAACTGAAATTCACAAAACTGGTGAAGAACTAAGAAAAAATTGCTCGTCCGAATTCGTTGGTTGCCGCGAACTCGCAAACCATCCGCTCCGCTGCATAGAATGTACCAAATCGAGCGACCAACTCAAACACCCGCTGCTTATCAATCGAGGAGATAATTCCGGGAGAATGTATCAAATCGACTAGGGTCCCTAATTTGTAATCCAGTTAACTAGGGAAATCATCTTCCTGAGCAATCAACTACCAAAACCTATGAGCGACGAACTGAAACGCGAGAAAAAGAGCGTACCCACGAAAAGGACGGAAACTGTCAAAAATTATGAACTCAAACGCCCACTGCTTATCAATCGAGGAGATAATTCCGGGAGGATGTATCAAATCGACTAGGGAAATCAGTTTCCTGAGCAATCAAGCACCAAAATATGAGTGACAAACTGAATTGCGACAAACAGAGCGCGCGAGACCAACCAAATCATTTTGCTGAGTAATAAACCACCAAATTATGAGCGACGAACTGAATCGCGAGAAACAGAGCCCGCGAGACCAACCAAATCAGTTTGCTGAGCAATCAACCACCAAATTATGAGTGAAGAACTGAATCGCGAGAAACAAAGTGCGCGAGACAACCAAATCAGTTTGCTGAGCAATCAACCACCAAATTATGAGCGAAACGCGTGAGCGTCGGAGTTGCACCGCCTCGCTCGTTTGGACTGGAGTCGCGCCGCACGCCGCTCTGCGCTCCGCCTCCGCTCGTCGTCGGTCGCCCCCTCCGCCCGTCTCCGGTCTCCGTCGCTCTGCGCTCCCCCTCCGCTAGGCCTCGGCGGCTCGGCCCTTGCCCCTTGCCCCTCGGCAGGTCGCCGGCCGGCCGCCCGCCGCCCGCAACCCGCCGACCGCTGCCCAGACCAAGCGCCCCACTCGGCTCCGGTCGCCAGCCAAGCAAGCAGGCATCCACGCGAACAGAACAGGAACAGGGAGCAGCTGCAGCCCTAATTTGTTTAGGCCTCGTTTAATTCCCTAAAATTTACTTCATGTTCGTAGAATATTTGATAGTATTAAATATAGACTTAAAAAATAACTAATTATATAGTTTACGACTAATTTGTCATACGAATCTTTTAAACCTAATTAGTCTATGATTTGACAACGTGGTACTACCGTAACACATATGCTAATGACGAATTAATTAGGCTTAATACTTCTGCTATGTTGCATTCAAGATACAAATACATAGCTTTTAATAAATATTTTGTTTGTCCCTTTTGGCATTCTTCTTATTAACATTTTAATGTTATCCAAATTAGGAGTCATTATTGAGGACATAGAATGGTGCCGTTTTTTATTTTTAACTGTCAAAATTTGGCTTTAGTCGTGGTCAAATCATAGGTTCGCCGCTGCATAAGACCCCGACATCGAGGAGAACGAATGGATTTGAAATGCGTGAGAGGACGGGACAGGACCGGCTGCGGCTTTATACTGGCCGGGAATTTGAGTTGGGGGATTTCGAATTTGGTACGCGTCGACGCGGAGGATGGCTGCTCCAGGAAAAGAAGAAACGCCATGCTCGTTCATTCTCAAGCTGGAGTGAAGCCTGTAATGTCCACGCGCCTAGGTAAATTTTCTTTTCTTTTACTTTTTTTACCTATTCTTTTACTTCTTTTACCTATCCTTTTTCTCTTCTTGTCCGCACTTGGCCCACCTATTTAATCCTACGTGCTATACACACTTTGCATTGCACGTATCCTAATGCAACCAAATACATGATGGTCGCCTAACCAAAATTACGTACAAAAGGAGCATTCTATTTCAGTTGTTGGACATGCCCGGGGTGAGCCGGAGGCGGCCGGCGAGCTGGTAGAAGACGCGGACGGCCTGGGACAGGGAGTTCTTGAGGTTGGAGAGGATGGCGGGGGACGTCGGCGTCCGGGCGAGGCGGTAGAGGAAGAGGCGCCCACGGGCGGCAAGCTCAGCCAGAAGACGTCGAAGAAGGCGAAGCGGGAGGAGCACTCCAGCGGGCAGAGCCTGATGGTAAGGGGGAGACGGACTCACGACGGCGCTTGTCGAGGAGGTGACAAGGCGGAGGCTCCACACGCTGCTGCTGCCTCTGCACCACGGCCATGGCCATTATTGCCGTCGCTGGTAGGACGTGCTTGCTCGGTGGTCTCAGCTTGGCAGCTTGTTCCGCTCCATTGCTGAGTGTGCTTCTTCGCCTTTTACCTCAACTCAGACGGAATGGAAAACTGTAAGGTCCCGTTCGGTTATAGATGTCCAACGGGCGGCCCGGCCGGCCGCAAGACTTTGCCGTGCTGCATGGCCCGGATGGGTTCAGACGCAAGACAAGACGTCAGGTCTACCGGCCGCCGCCGAGGCGGGCACTGCAGCCGTGCGACCTCCACGGCCCGTGCACGGCTCATTGGGCCGTTATCGGGCGGGCGGCCCGAGAAGCACGGCCGATCCGGCGTCGCGCTGCGTGGCGGGCCCACGATGAAGCGAGAGTAGCCAGAGAGAGAGAGAGAGAGGGGGAAGGGGAGGAAGCGCGAGCAGCTGGAGAGGCAGTGGCCGTCGGCGACCTTTCCCTTGGGTGCCTTGACACCGGCGAGGAGACGGAGGGGGTGTCTGCGTCCGTGGCGCAGAGGTGGGAGGGGAAGGGAGTTAGGAGCGCGGTGCTCTGGATCTCCGCCCGAACGCGCCCACCGGGTCTCTGCAGCCCACAGAACCCCTCGTCGTCGCGGCCGCCGGAGTGGAGGCGGGGAGGGGGCGTCCACGTGGGGGTGCGGCATCGACGCCCGTGCGCGAGGGCCAAGGGGAAGGAGGGGCGTCCCGCGCGGCACCGACAGCGCGTCCGGGGCCCAGATCCAGGACCGTGCGCGAGGGATGCGGAGGGAAGAAGCTACGGCCTGTGGCGCTGCGCGAGTGATGCCGGAGGGGGAGAGGCTGCGGCGTCGCGCCTGCGGGAGGGATTCGGAGGGAGCTGCGACGTCGCACCTGCGGGAGCCTACGGAGGGATGCGAAGGAGGGGATGGGAAGGGAGTTAGGGATCAAGGGGTGGGCGCGGGCCGGCTAAGGGAGCAGGCCGGTTGGCCGGGCCGACTAAGGGAGCAGGATGGCCTTGGGGAGGGGAGGAGGAGTGAGGAGGGGAGGGTGCAGGGCGGGCCGCTGCTGGGCCGACCGTCGAAGGCCGGGCCGTGTTGTGCCGTGCCAGCCCACGGGCCTGAGCAGCGGCCCAGGCACGGCCTGCTCCCTCGGGCCGGGCCAGCCTGGGCCCACTGACCATCGGGCCGTGTCGTGCTTGGTCTGGGCCAAAATTACGTGCTTCGTGTCGGGCCGCCGTGCCTCGGGTTGCATGGACATTTATACTTCCAGCGGCTCTCTCTCCCCTTCCTAGCTACATCGAGGCTCCTTTACAGGAGGTGAAAGAGGATGCAGAGGTGGATGGATCGGCGAGCCCATCCTGCCCATTCCTCGGTTGATGGATTGACGGCGAGGTAACTAGATGGGCTTGGCGGCGAGGTGGATGGTTTGACGGCGCGGTGGCTAGGTGGGCTCGGTGGCGGGTTCAATTTTTGTTTTTTTATATAATTTTTAGAGATGAGCATCTTAAGCACCCCGTTTTTTGAAATCTGAACTAAAGAGGCAGGAGAGGAGCCCCACTGTTATTTTACTATTCCAGTGATCAAGTGATCAGCAGCAGCAGAGCAACCTGCCTATGAATTTGCGGTCTCCAAAAGGCATTCTTGTAGTAGCATGAGTATAGGTGAAAATGGTACGGATATTTTTCGATCGTATTCGAGACCGAATCTGTTTAGAAAGGTTTAGATCTATTCGTATCGAGTTCGAATATTCAACATCTGATACCGTATTTATATCTGAATTCTCAAATCACATGTTTATGATGTTGATATCTAATTATATCCTATTCGACATGGGATGCTATCGGTAATCGTAGTTTTCGTCCATAAGCGTGAGTGCGGCTACCAAGCTCAGGCCCTTGCAATGGAAACGCTCCGCTAACCCCGTCGTCATAAGCGACCGCAGCCGACCAAAAAAACCCCCTTCTCGCGTTCGTTCTCCCTCCTCACCCCGCTCAATTGGCACAGAGTACACACCGCGCAGCCAACCACTGCAGAAGCTTCGAGAACCTAGGGTTTCCCCACCTCCATGGCCATCGCCACCGCCGCCGCCGCCGCGGTGCATCCGTCGCTGCCGCCGCTAGCACGGCGCACCGTGGCGTGGTTGGCGTGCACCCACCTCGCCTGGCCGCCGTCGACGCCGTCACTGCTTGTTCCTCGCAAGCATGTGGCTTCTCTTCTGGGGCCAGGCCACCAAGGAAATCGGGCGGCTCGCCTGCGGTGAGGGCTGCGCTGTGGTCACCACGGCGTACAAGGTCGTCTCTGTAGCGGTGGGGGTCACCTTTGTGCTCGTCCTCCCCTTCAGCGTGCTACTGCTGGCACTGATGATGCCCTCACGAAGGCGGCGGCGGCGGCAGCGGCCACTGACATTGAGGCAACGAAGGTGCGGAAAGGAAAAAAAATTGTGCGTATCCAATTTTTCTGCCGCGGCGATGCGAATACGATAGGTGTCACCTGAAATTGGAAGCTTTTATTGCATACCCATAATTTTTAGTCTTGATTTAATTGCCTTTGGTTCCGGTCCAGGAGCCTTCTCCGGAGACATCGTATGCGGCAATGCGGGACATGCTGTGTGTCGCTCTTGGACTCGCTTTACTGGCGTTCACCCTGCTCATGCTCATTGGTGCTCTGGTGAAGGGGGGGGACTCGCCCGTGATGGGGTCTCGTCGGGAGAGAATGGGTTTAGTGATCTATGACGTGGGAGCATTTGGCACGGTCTTGGGGAATTGCTTCGTTTCATGCCCCATTATGACAGTGAGGATTTGGAGGGCCTGGAGGATGGCGCGACATGCTCTGTGATGTGGTATGCAGTTGAGGTATCACCACCCTTTGCTCTGAGGCTCTTGTGTTTGTGCGGCATTTTTTTTTGTCTGTGCAAACTTTTCCTGTGCAGGATGCAGCCTGTTGACAGAAACCTTGAGCAAGCAATTCCTTTGGTTTTAGCTATCACTTTATCGATTTTGGAATTTCAACGGTTAAGCATGAATAACTGAACCATTCCTTCCCCTTAACGAGATTCTACTAAGTTTTGTAGAATGGAGTAATGCTCATCTGACTAAAGTGGTCATAGATGTGCTCAACTCACCTGCAGGTGACAGTGGAAACTCTGTTCTATGAAATTAGGTTTAGTTTCCCCTTGATGTCTGCGAGCAATGATGCAGATGTTCAGCTGCCAGCTAGTGACGTTTTACAGGTTTTGAACCGTTCTTAGAAATTTGTGCATAAAGATCTTCATTAGGAACTCTTTTGTCATCGAGTGGAAGTTGTTAGAGTCCTTGTAGCTTGTTCTGTTTATTTTGTCTCCACACCATGCTTCTATGTTTAGATGAACAATGGAAATAAAAGTTCAATTTCATACATAAGTAAATTAACATGGTGGGAACAGTTTCTGTACTTAATCATTGTCTAGTTTAATGTTGTCTCTGTGATCTGTTCATCGGCTCTATTTTTTTAAAAGAAAATGTACTTGAGCACAGAGGTTTTGTAGTTTGGTGTCATCTCTTTTCACCCTTATCTATCTGAACTGCTGCTTATTTACTGAATGCAATTGGTAAGGAATCCTGTTGATAGTTCAATATGATAGTTCTTGATATAACTTCAATTGCATGATAAAAATGAAAGAATAGTGCTTGTCTGCTCTCCTTATATAACTACACAAATAATCGTGCTTGTCTGCTCTCCTCATATAACAACTACACAAATATTAAAGTAATCTGCTCACTAGTGAAAGGTACGTTTGCAAATTGGGGCATGAACATGCATTCCAACCGTGCTTGCAAGTTTAATGTATGGGATAGGATTCAGCTAATATTTGCTAATTTTTTCCCAAATGGTCACCATTAGAGCGGTTAAATAGCTTGATACAATCGAGCTACAGGGTACCAGCCACTAGCTACAAGTATGCTGATTCTACTCCTTAAAATTCAGGAGCATCTTAATTAGTATGCTGAAGAGATGAAATCGTGATGGAAAATGCTTCATGTAAAACCCATTTGTACAACTCTATTATAGTTGTACTCAAGTATTTGAACCCTTTGATTCATGTAAAACCCATTTGTACAACTCTATTAGCAACCACCCAAGAGATTTTCACTGTTGGTCACTCCTGGTCTAGACATGTTTGTTAACTAATTGGTTATGTAGGGGAAGTAGTACTGATTAGATCAGCACCCTACCATCAGTTTTATTTCAGTACATTGGCTGTTTTGACTTTTATGTGAGCAAGCTTGCAAAAGTTTTACCTTAGGCAATCTTTACACATTAACCTCTTATACTTTCTAAATATTGGAGTCTAAAATACTTTTGAGGTGAAATCTAAAATATTTGTGATGCGATATGGATCCAATTTTTATGCACCTATTCTGATTAAGATGTTTGATTTCATTTTTGTAGAAAGCCTTGAAGTGGAGAAAGAGCTGTGAAGATGGAGGACTACGAGTACCTATGCTTTGTTGCTGAAAATATTAGTTCTTTTCTGTATCTTCTTATCTACGAAAATTTATCTTATTTCATTGTGGATCTACTGCTAGCATAAAGTATCCCCTATGCTATGAATTCTGCAAATTTGAAACTATGGTGTATCCTATGCTTCTGGAACACGTACTTCCAGAAGTGACAATGAGGAGAATGACTCGTGCTTTTTAATCAATGTAACTAACATCCTAGCAGGAGAAGATGCATATCTGGATGCAATATCACACTGGACATGCTATGATCTTGGCTTTAGTTAATTTATTATAAATTTCTTCTGCAGATTTCTCTTAGCAAATCTAATATTGCTCAGCTTACTTCTAGTTCATGATGTAGGATGTGTTTAATATTTCTGAATCTGTAGATGTTAATTTGGCCTTGATTTGTTTTACAGTTCTGCACATATATAGTTTTTTCATTTGTCCTACCTGATTGGGTGGGAGGTGTGGTCATGCACATAACCACCCTAGTTCGAGTCATCTTCAACATGAATTTGGGTGTTTATCTTGTTCTTAATGAAAAATTGCATAGGCTGGTCACATTTTTTTAAACGTCCTACATGGATGGATTTGACTACAAGCCTTTCTTTGTCGTCATCTGTTGTCCTAGGCTAGATTTGCTGCGCTTCATCACCACCCTAGGCCACACTGCCACGGTGGAGTGAGCAACATGAGGAGAGTGTGGGGGGGGTGGGGAGGAGAGGGGCATAGGGGCAGGAGGTGGTGTGTGTGTGTGGGGGGGGGGGGGGGGGGGGGGGGGGGTGATGGGGGCCGGTGATGGCGGAGGATGATGGGGGTGGGAGGGAGGAGGGTTTGGCGTATATACACTTGAGCTGGTTTTCATGGCCGGTTCAAACCACTAACCAGTGGTGATAATATTTCAATGTCAGTTTTAATAGAGTTGATGGTAAAAATATTGTTGGTAAAATTTATGCAATAACAAAGGGTGAATTGGTGATGTGATATGGTTGGAGACATGTACATGGCCATTGTCACATTATTGAGTTGTGATGGATGTAGGGGGGGTGACTGTTTATGGAAAAATGTGGAAAGGAAATGAAGTGATGGTATGAAAGCGAACTAACAAAAACCATCACTTCGATCGTGACTCGTATTACTAGGTTTTGACTCATATGATGTGATGGGACATGGATATATGATTGCTAGAGACATCAGTGAGTCTGGATACATGTTAGAGAACACATTTAGAAAGTGAATGCTAATGGTTATGATTCACAAGAGTAAGATTACATCGGTAGAGAAAGATGACAATACTTAAATGGCTTCTCTCTACCGCCGCCATCCTAGGGGTTCTCTAGGCGTGACCAATACGCTTCCCCTCCTAATGTGGTGGCTTCACCGGCAGTAGGGGTATAGGGTTTATATTGGATAAATTGTGACCTATGCACTACCTACGGCAATTCGTATCTTACCTTATTTCTCGTAGAAACCTCCTGTGCAGATGCCTATTGCCCTGGTGTTTCTTCGCGTCACTTCTATTTTTCGCCGGGTTGATGCGATTGGTGGGGATAGTCGTGTTGGCCCATTTGTATCTTTGTGTCATTAGCTCGTTGGTTATGATCTCGCGATCACTGGGAAGTTATTCGAGCTTCCAGCTCTAACATGGCCAATGCAAGCATTGACTTATGTGACATTGCTAAGGTTTGGGACCTATCGCGGCAATGATTGTAAGGTGGTACTCTGATGTCACTCGTTGGTGTTGCTAAGTTGAAACTAGGCAATCGTTGATGACATCTTTTAGAGGTGGACAATGTTGTTAGATGGCTCTCGATAAATGCTAGTGTAGTGTGTCTAGAAGCTTGGATGTCAATAGGTATGCAATTGTACTCTCAATTTAATTGAGTAATTTCTCCATCCCAAAATGAAAATGAAGATGAAAAACAATTAGGTGCTGTGTTATCTTAAATGCTAAATGGTAACCGTCGATCACCCTTCATTTAGCATATAGACTGTTTAGACGTTTACATGGAGTTAAAGGGTTTTATAATGTTTCACCAAAAATATACATATTCTAGCATAGTAGCAAGTATACATATTTATCCATCTGAAAAATCAAGTAATTTAGTAAAAGGTGCAAAGCACCAAACAAAAAGACATTAATTCTCAAATATGAAATCAATACATTTCCGGTTGCAGCATCATAGGTCATCTTCACAGAACCAGGACAAACACAAAGGCATTGGTTGTTCATAAGCACAAGCAGTGAAGCACTGCTGCACTAGCTCTCTGAGTCATTTTTCAGCATGAGAATTAATCTCTGTAAGAATGTAATGAATTTAGGTTTATATCTGAAGTCCTGAACTAATGGTATGAATTGAACTGAACAAAGGCAAATGTCTGAACATGTGTAATCTAAAGTCAACAGGCATATAGCTCTATATAGTGTATATGTTCGTGGAACTGGAGATATAGGTTCTGAACTATGATATACTCTGTCAGAGATAGGAATGTCAGCTATCAGTTAGGAGTATACTCTTAGGCAGCCAGCTACATTGCTGCTATGTATTATAATCTACTCCATGACTTCAGCATCAAAACCCACATTTGCTCATGCTAAACGTAAGGTATTAAAATTTTAGCATCAAAATACCTTTAGCATGAATATTTAGATCTTAGCAAGATAATTTCCTCTTTTTTTACCAAGGAGAAGTCTGTTCATTTGCATTCTCTGTAATCTAAATAAGCAAAGGCAAATAAGGTCTGGGAGCATATAATATACATATTTGCGCTATTTGTAAACTGTAAAACCTACAGTAGGCCCATAGGAGGTACAGAGAAATAACGAACAGGGAACGTCAACTGTAGTAGTAATTTTGGAAATTAAACAAATTTGAAGATCCTAAAAGCATCTACCAAGGATAAGTACATGTGGTAATTTTCCTTAGTTACCATAAGAGTTGAACCATTTTGTTTCAGGCAATCCTTGTAAAATTCCTTAGTTTCCCAAATATATCCACAGTATCTGAGATGCAAGGAAAGAACATATCTAGAATGTTTACATAGTTTTTAAGAAGCAAAGGAATTATATATATAACCTACCAAATACACTGCTAGAGTATACATCAGAGATTCAGAACAACCAACACATTTGCCAGCTCTCATGAGTGTGGATTCACAAATAAAAAAGCTCTCATGAGTGTTCGAGACAAAAAAACTTGAAGAGATAAAACAGCTACTACCACTCTACCAGTACCTCTATCTCTACCTCTACCTCTACCTCTACTTGAACTTGAAGTCTTGCGTTCATACTAGCTACATGTGAAGCTAGCTAGCAGGAACATCGAGTGGGGAAAAGAAAGGAGTCGCAGGGGAGCAGGAGGAGAAGAAAGGGGGAAGTAGGTTAGTAGTAGCTGGTGATTCCTGGAGCCTGACGATCGATGAACAAGGGAGGTCGGATCGGATGTGGGAGATGCACAAAGTGAGACGATGACGTGTCGGTTTCTCAGCTCGCCGTCGCCGTGTAGTGTGTACACTACGACTGGGCATATCCATCCATCAGGACACGGGCTTGGGCACCTGAAAACCCCCATTCTGCTCAGCCTCTGCTCGCCGCTGCCGTTGCTTTTTTCCCCAAGTCTGAAAACCCCCATTGCTGGCGAGCGTTGCTGCCGCGCTCATCGCCTGCGGCTGGGGGTGCACCGGCGCTGCGTGGACGGCCGTCCTTGTCTCCGTGCTCTTTGTTGCGATCGTCTGGCCCCTCCGCGCTGATGTTGAGAAAATT